CCATGCACAGTTATTTGATACTAAGATTTTGAAATTTGCGACTTAAAATGAGAATTTCTCGGAATACGGGAAGTATCGCGACACTGCACATGTGCATTTAAATTGTTATAATACTAACATCGGTGTTAAATCGCCAACGTACGATGTCTGTGTCCTTTGGGATTATGGTAGGCTCCCATTATAAGTATCTATTCTCATATATTTCATTGAGGATTCGTGACAAGAGCAGTTGATATCTTTAAACACAATTTTGTGGGGGAAAAGGCGTTTAAAGAAAAACTTTGTATCATAACAAGAAAACGTCCTCAACCCGGAGAATTATTCTAACGATACAATCGTGTTTATAGACATTTTCTAGTCGTGTATTGACGGTGGAAGAGGACAAGTCTCACGGAATCGTTTTCGTAGAAGACAACTACAAACTTTGTATGTCGAGTGAGAATGAAGGCGGATATATTTGTGTTCTAGTATGGCCCTCACATAAATCTTAGGAACAATTATTTACCAGTTATCGTACGAACAACACAATCTATACAAATACTATTCACTTTACGTATGCGTAAAACTTGTACAATATTCAACATTTGTTTAAAAATGCCTTCGAACTACACCAAAGATATGTGTTATAGTTCTACTGTAACACATTTTTTGTTGTTGTTGTACAATTATTATGCAATTATTTAAGAGCAAATAAAATAATATATAGATTAACTATAGAAATAAGTTTAAGACAGCCAGCTATTATCGAATTATTATATTATGACCTGAGATTTGAAACATGAAGTGAATTTATTTCGGCCATATTATATGAATACTAAATAGTTTTTATAGGTTTTGCATGCCAAAAACATGAACTTAGATTATAAAATTACACATTTTATGCCAGACTTTTAAGGTTATAAAGTAGAAATAACATGCCGAAATGATTTATTAGTAAAATTAATCAAAACAATGATATAATATTAAATATTGTTTATAATAATTAAGTAATTGAAAACAGAAGTTAGCTGAATTTGAGCTAGTCGCATTTGTTTCCGGTTAAGTATAGCTATAAGGGAAAGACAGAAATAAATGAACAAAAAGTCTCAGACAAAAATGAAAATTAATATACGTGCTTTATTCATTATATATCTTATATTGCTGACAGTTACTGTAATTGTTTAGGCTAAATCGTTGCATAGTGTTGGAAATTGTAGCCGATTTAAGACTGACCTAGATTTGTTCTTTTTAATGGAACTGTGAATAGGTGAATTTTCCGAACAATTGCGAGATCTCGCGAGATGCATGAAAGACGCGCGTCGAACGTCTGCCGCAAAAATCGAACGATTTGATTTTGAACTAGAATTTCTTTATTTCGCAGCTTACATTGACCGGCCGATCTTCGACAGAGGAATATTGCTTCCGAATACCCTTACTTAATCGAAATTGCCTATCATCAAATGTGGACAGCACATTATTAAGCATGGAAATGTCCCCGAAATACTTTCGCGTTTGTCGAATCCCACGCGATGTTTGACGCGACTACGACGTTATGACCTTTGTTTGTTCTGTTTTTACGTTCGATTTCACGCATAACGCGTGATTCTCGCAGTGAACGGAAAATGGTCTATTCAGAATTGACCAATGATCTAGTATTGTGGTGTTCAGTTGAGGTTAAAGTGATTTATGAGTGATCTGTGAAAAAGAAGATCATGGACGAGTTTGCGAACTTGGTGTTTCTATTTTTCATATCTGTAAATACGACATGAATGTAATAAGGGTTTACTATGTGTGAGACGGTCCTTATACTGAGTAATACAACTTGTTTTAAAAATAATTTCTACTTCGTTGGTAGGTATAGTTATTTAAAAAAAACATGAAATGGATTATCCGCAAGTGTTGAAATAGGGTAGAAATATAATTTATAAGATGAGAGAGAGTTTGGTGTCAGAACATTTTTTTCAGTGTGCGTTTGCAGCTTGTGTGGAAATGTAAATGAATGAAAAATATCTTGTTTCTGAATAAATAAACAAACGGTGCTAAATACATCTCTAGTATCACTATCGTGTAATGAAAGTGTACGATAAAGAACAAATTTTGTAAAAATGATAAGGTTTTGTGAAACAATTTTATATCGCTCTATTTTCGATAATTTGTATGGAAAATATGCAAATGAGGAGGGCCTTTTCAGTTAGCGAGTGCATGCCATTTGCTGTTCAGTTTACCTATAGTCATGTTTCGAGATTTATCTTATTCTTGGTAATTTAAACAATTTCATCTTCGTATGTGCATGTACTTAAGCGGTCACCTGACATCAAAACACACATCTGTTGTGCCCAAAAAAACGTTTACATTCCTTAGCATGAGCAGTCGAGATGAAGGTTGCTTTTGAGTTAATTGATGTGAAAAATGTACAAGACAGACCCGACGAACCGCAATGTCTGATGAAAAACGTGATTAGAATGCATATGCCCGCGAGCGGTCTTGCATACGTACACAATAGCTGGCTAATCACGTCTACAAGTATTATAATATTATATTAGAAATTACAATAAGACAAAAAATATCTAAAATGCTCCAGACATGTGTTGTGTCATACAGTGTGCTAACAGTTACGGTAATTGCTTAACACTGTCAATCCAAGCAGGAGATGTATCAGATTTAAAATCAACCGATAATCGCTAAGCAATTAAGTCGCTTCTCATCAAACTTACGATTTACGGCTGTGTTTTCTGCTGGTTTATATGTATACGAGTAAGGTACATTTTTTTTATGTAATTCCATGTTAATGTGTAATATATATTTAATATATCCTGTATTGTCACCATAGGCGACATTTACATAATGCATACGTCATTTCGTCGTCATTGACTTGATAAATACGATGTTTGCGCATGTTTGTGCTGCGCATTTTTTCACATTATAACCATCACCGATAGAGTATAATCGACATTTGCGTTAATAGGAGCCGTTAAGGCAAGTATCTAGCACATATACGTACCTCGTATAAAAGTCGCAGTTTTAAGAAGCAACGGTAGACTCATCGTTTCCATTATTTCGCCTTCCCACAGAACGAAGTTCAACACCCAAATATACGTTATTTAGATTTAGTTTATATTTTGGATGGAGGATATGAGCAATTACACATCTGATTGGCACAATGCATTATGTGAAATCTGTCCATTACCTCACTGTAACAGCTCTACATATGCAGATAGTTTTAATTGGTCTGTTGACTATTATTCTTCATATCTCCATTATTCAGACTATGTTAGTGAACATTGCTCACAGCTATATACAGTCAACGACGGTATCAGTGTGGTTGCAAAGATCTTCACGTCCATAGTATTTGTAATAACTGTCGGGTTATCAGTTGTTGGAAATAGCATTGCTATCTGTATTTTATCCTCTGAAAATCGTGTTAGAACAAGCTTTAATACGTTTCTCATTAACCTCGCTGTATCGGATCTGGCTATGGGAGCGCTATGCATGCCGTTCACTGCAACCGCGATGTTAGTTGGAAATTGGCCATTTGGTGACTTCATGTGTCCATTTGTGAGTTTCATGCAACAGGTATGTTGGATTTCGTTCCATAATGTTAATTGATTGCAATTACGACTTAAGGTAGCTATTATTTGCAAACTTGTTATCATCTTACAATTGCGACTAAATGACTACAAAAAGACCCAGGAACGTATATATTTTTGAAACCGCCAGATTTCACTTTTGAAAAGGTTGCTTTTTATGCATGTATCTGCATTCTACGACGCGTCACTCGCTCAAATGTAAAAAATACTTTTTCTGTTAAAAAAATAATTACGCATTTATGCTGGCGATAAGAAGTTGTTTTTTATGCTTTTCTTAGTTGTTCAATAGTCTGCTAAATTGAATGCATCGTGTCAGTTTTATTCATGCAATGCGTTTCAGAAAAGTAGCGTGCCAAATTTTAATTAGAAAACGTCGATAAAGTCACGGCAACGATTTTGAAGCTTGTATATCGGCGCAACCGATTTGTTTTTCACGTCTGTTTCAACATGTGTATGGGCATCCAAAAGTATAAGGCTATTGGAAACCAAAGAACAAAAAGAATTGGATAGCTATAATTCGGTAAAATCGGCAGATGAGAACACCAAAATCAATGATTTTTAAAGTGGCCGCGTGACCTTGTGTCTGACACATGAATATGCAAATAACTAATCTATGACGGAGACCAACCATTCAGGTGTTCGTAACCATTCATTGTGTGTCAGATAGCTACTGATAACACGTTGTAACATTACGGATTATATAAGATGGTAAATGAGTGCGAGACCCCAAAATGCAGACGGGCAGCAGTTAATTCTTATACCCACGAAACAATCAAGCAGTCGGCAATGTAAACCCAGGGCGCGAGCAGTCACAGTGCAATAAGCTGTACAACAGACGATCCAAGAACTTCGATTACTTTTGCAAAATTGCAACGATCGTTCAGGACTCAGACTGTGTCCAGGATGAGTAAGAAATTCAGAGAACACCTCGAGACTTTGCAATACTTTGCGGGTGTGTATGTGTTGGCATCGACACGTACTATTGTAGTGAATAGATAAAAGCTGTAGATAAGACATAGAATAGTCTATAATTGTCGATCATTGTATTCAACTATTCAAAATAGCTAGACGTTTCTGGAACCTTCTTCAGTAAAATGAAAATCCCTAAAGTATGAGTAGAAATAAAGTAAGAACAAGCATATTGACTGTCAGGTGGAATGGCTAAAATATTACACAGTAGAACTGACATGGGGTCACAATCTAATGTCCCAATGCGTGATATAATTACGTTCTCGAAGCGGTGGGGATTATTCTCGTTGCATTTGACAAAACATACACCAGAAATGAACATATCCGTAATGCCATGCCCCCTAGAATTGAAATGAAGAAAACACGGATGAAAGAATTGTCTTGCCCCGTGTGTCATAGATATTCAGCAAAACAAACTCCTAGTGGACGCATTCTGAACCTGTATAGATGCGTACATGATGAATGAGAAACATTCCTGATAAAGCAATTGAATTGATTATTGAAAACATCATGTCCATTGGAACCAAATATACGATTGTATTACACTTGGGTAGTATACAGAAGACGCAGTCATCATCCAATTCCATAACATGAACCAATAGAAAACCGACCTATTCAAGAGATACACGTCAACAATACATGCAATTACTATAATAATAATAATAATAATAATAATAATAATAAACTGTTTCCTGCCAGGGACGAAGAAATGATAAGCGCGAGAACTAACATTGTGTTCTGCAGTTGCCTGCCATAAACGTCTTAAATTGAAGCCTTCGCAATCTCCCGCTTTACGTTTATGTTGCAGATTTTGAACATCTACATATCGGCATACCTGACATATTACCGACTGTGTTTTATTATAATTTAATTACTATGGTAACGGAGAAAAATAACTGGCCTAATCGCATTGGCCGTGGACTAGCCATTGAATTATTTGATTAATTGTGATTGTTTGTATTTTATTAGTGTGTTTGCTTCAGTGTATTAACTGCTTGCATCTATATGAGGGGACAGGTTTAAATACTTTGCAAATGCTTTTTTATGTGTCATTTTAATATTGTCACATTTCTTGGCCCCCAGAATTATTCGACCTGCTCAATTCTGGAGTATCTGTATTGTGTGGAGAATACAAGCGTTGAATTCCATAAATGTGCCTGGTGTAGATAAAACTACATTTCATATAATGCGTTCTAATGTTAACAGAATGCCTTTGAGATAAAGCTCTGATACTGTATCCATGAATTTTCTTATTAGTTGTAAATCTTGTTAATCGATATTCTGGTGCGCTCCCATTCAAAATTTCATACATAAGTGTAGCCTGATTAATCCGTCTTTTTTTACTTAAACTGAACCATGCCATTTGTTAACGTGTCCCCTTTTTAATATGCGTCTTTCTTGGCCCCAAGAATAATTCAACCTGCTCAATTTTTGGGTACCTGTATTGTGTGGAGAATGTAAGCGCTTGCCTTATTAAAACATCACAGTAATCAAAATGAGGATAAGCTAGGAACAAAGCGTCTAGTTATTTTAAAATGCTTATCTTACTGGCAAAGGTTAATCTAAAAACAGCATGCTGTTAATTTCTCGTTTTGACATGTATCTTTACATATTTGTGTTTGTTCACAAAAATGTGCGATAAAACGTTCATCGCATTACACGTTCTTACTTCCCTCGATTTGACAACTTATTAATGAATAAATGATAAATGAAATTTATGGTTGAGTGAATGGATAACATTAGATGTATTGTTGAATGAATGAATGAATGAATGATTGAATGGAATTTTTGGTTGAATATTTGAACTAATGAATGAATGATTGTTTTAAATGATTGTTTGGAATGAATGAATAAAATACCAAAGTAAGTATAGAAAAATCTATTTCTGACATATTTTGCACGGGAGCACTATTTTGTACTCAGCGTGATTTGGCAAAGTGGGTGTTAAACAACGATTTGTTGTTTTTATGCCATTATAATGTCTTTTTAAACGGAAATATTATTAGACAAATTAGAAAATCACTCTCAACAAAAAAAATCATGTTAGAAGGGTCCACGGTAAAGTGACTACATCGCGTAGAAAAGTGAACGTGTTGAATTTGCGGCGTTCAATTGAAATGAGTAAGAACCAAAGTAAACGAACTGACGACGCGTGCACACACAGCTCGTGCGTTATTTTTTTTTCAAACTTAAGTGATACCTAAATACTAGAATTTCTGGAGTTTTCTGTTAGGAATGACAAATATTCAACTCGTGTCCTCAATATTTTATTAAATAGTATGGAGATATATAACAAAATATATCAGGATTGAAACTACAATTTATTAAATTTATTGAATGAGTGTTGTAATTTTCATAATTAATGCAGGGATTGTAGTTTGCGAAAACATATTGGAGACCTCATAGAGCGTTGTGGTTCATGTTCATAACCCATAGCCGTATTTGAAAGCCGGTTACCCTATTGCGATTAAGAAATGTAGTTATTTTTGAGTCATCACTATATTGTCGGTTTCAATTTTTGAAATAACTTCAAACCGTAGCCGTTTGACAATCCTTGACGAATCGTCACTAAACACGGGCAAAAAAAATCATATGCGCTGAGAAGTAGAGGTTGTGAAGCATTTAAGCTGGACATCTTAAACTATCGGAAATGTTCAAATTGTTATAATCCAACAAACAAGTACCAATATCACGGTTTTTTGGCTTATTTTGCGATATCAACCACGATGTCAATCAGCTTGCACGTACAAATTGACGGGATTATTATAGTATGGTAATATAAAAAAAAATGTTACACTGCAATATTACACCAAACTGCGATTTTTTATGGGATAAATACAATTATCATTTATACAAGTGCGGTGTCCGCTAATGTTCTCATAGTAGTGAAATTAACACGCATAACTGCAGTGTTCCAAACAAAAATATCATTCACGTGATTGATCTTATTCCATATTTCAACTATGTTCATGCTTGATAAGGAAGCTATTCGTTGCCAACAAGAAAATACATGTGTGTTCTCGGATTTGCAAATATTGCCTTTTGAAATTGATTGTTTTGATTATAGTTGGATATTGTTGCTTGGATTTTTACGATATAACACGAGTTTTTATGTTGATATTCTCCCGAGAGGTGAGAACATCGACCATAAAATCGAGTGATATAAGCTGTTTTTCTCTTGTTGGCGGCAAATAAAGTTTATTACCTTGAACTGCTATGATATACGAGATAAAATACATTATTATACACATGGTACTGACAGCAATATAACTTAGCGTGCCTTCAAACGTACTTAAACTCCCTTTAGTATTTTGCCACACCTACGCAACGTTTGCACTTTTTCACACAGGGTGCCATTGTTATTTGTCAGAGGTAGATTACGTCACTGAACACAAACAATATTTCTGCTATTTCCGGAAAAATAATAGATTCTACATATGAAGAAGTATGTTATAATAAATGAAAGCCCATGACTAACTAAGTATACGAAAGTCCGGTACCAGAATTACCCGACGAGTTTCAAGCCGTGGTTCATGGTAGGGCAATACAGCTACTGGTGGTGTTGGACATCTAGTACAAATGGCGATCGGAATTCACAAGTTGAATAAAATCCTCTGAAACTATATTTCCTGCATTTTTAGGGGCAAATTTTGCTGACACAAAGGGTTTCAGCTTCGATGCCCCAAACTTTTTTCGAGGGGCCCCACGGTACCGCCGCCACTACGTAGTTTTCTTTTTAATTGGTCTTTAGACTTCGATGTTTAGTGCCAGATTTGGCTATGGTATAACGAGGAATCGCTTACATGATTTCGTGGTCGCCTGATTAGCGTGGACAATCTCCACCAGCCAAGTTTGTGACCAGAAGCTAGATGAACACGTAATCAAATAAGCAGTCGTGAAAATCGTTCAATGTCTGCGAAGTCCACTTGGCCATTAAGGACATCGAATGATTTGCTTTCAGACGAATAAGGACTTGTGTTTTCGCTGCGTGCGCGTCTGTGCGTGCTCCCTTCTGTC